TACCCCACCCCCGCCTTGCCGCCTGTCTTTGCTTCAAGGTCTCAGCTGCATTTTTCCTCTAAGCAGCAAGATGTTATCTGCTTCCTGCACGCGACACGTTTAACCACAATCCTTTGGAGCCCACGCTCCGGTTCAGCTCCCTCGGGGACCACAGGCTGAAGGAACGAGGCTGAGGCCCCCAAATCCCTGGAGAGAGACGGAGTTGTTTGTTTATCCCAACTCATAAAAAGCCACACGAGAAAGAGGTTTAAAAGCTCCGGGCAGGTTATGGGTAAACAGCTTATGTGAGGTTTTTCAGGGTGGAAATTCACCTGAGATAGAAAAGGAGGAAGGCAAGCGCCTAGGGTCCCTGAGACGATCTTCCTGCCCCAAGACAGACAGACAGCCCCTCAAGCATCTTCATGGAGCCCGATGTGTAAGACGGAGCCAAAGTACTGCCTGAGACTCTGGCAGCAGCCGCCGCCGTAGCAACAGCAGCAAGTTTCTTTAGAATTCTTAAAGCTTATTCAGTCATTCAACACAGATGTATTGGACCCTATTATGCACCAGGCATCATGCTGGGCCAGTGAAATATAGATCTGAAGAAGATTCCCTGAGGAATTTTTCTTTTTAAATACGGTTCCTACTCTCACAGTAACAGAGAGCCCCAGAGCTCTAAGGAAAACCCAGCTGACTTGTGGGCTTCCCTCCCCAGCCCCACCCCTAAATCCTGTTTCATCAACACCTTCAAGTGAGGGCAGAGTACATCAGTCAGCAAGTCCTTCTGAAGTCCTGGGTGTGCCCAGTGCTAAGCTAGGGGCTATGAGGGAAATTGGGGGGCACAATGGATCTTCACCCTTAAGGAGCTGTCACACGGATCCCCCAGCTCTGTCGCTTTGAACTGAGACTTTCAGTGTCAGCTGTTTACCTTCTCTATGCCTCAGTTTCCCCATCTGTAAAATGGGGGCTCATCACGGGCCTTTCTCATAGATTTCTTATAAGGAATAAATGAGATAATCCATGTAAAGCGTTTTTGTTTCAATAGAGACTGGCACATAGTAAGTGCTCAATAAATGTTAGGTAAGTACCTGTGCTGACACAGAGCTCCTAATCCAAGTAATACGAAAATCTACATATTGGTCTCTGCTCTCCGTGCCTGGCACACAGTTCCTCAAACCCTTGTCATTTCCTAAGTGAGGAGAAGCCTAGGAACACCTTTTGTTCTAATATTTGGTGTTTGACCCCAGTTCCTGACACAGAGTTCCTAAATCCCTTGGGGTTTCCGGGTGCTAGAAGCATCTTTTGTTCTAATGAGGCAACTGTGGGTGGATTAAGTGGATAGTGAGGACGGGGGCTGGAACTTTCCACCCTACCCTTTATCCTCCGGGGAGAGGAGAGGGACTGGAGACTGAGTTAATGATCGATCATGCCTCGATGATGGAGCCTCCATAAAAATCCCCAAAATATGGGGTTCCGAGAGCTTCCAGGTCGGTGAACGCCTGGAGGTACTGGGAGGAAGGTGTGGTCCTGGAGAGAGCAGAGAAGTTCCTCACACTTTCCCATACACCTTGCCCTATGTAGCTCTTCATCTGTCTGTTCATCTGTATCCTTCTGGTATGTTTCCTTAGTAACAAACAGTAAGGCAGTGTGAAAGATGAGAGTTCCAAGGAAACCTGAGGGAAAGAAGGGTATTTAGGGAAGGCTGCCTGGAGGAAGCGGCACTAAATCTGGTCCTCCATTTTGACAGCAGGCTCCAAGGGCAAGGACCTCTTCTCAATTACTCCCTGCTCTCTCTGGCCCTTTGCAAAGTTCTGGGCACTGAGTAAACTCTGGGTGTGGAATGAACACCAGCTGGTGGATCTGAGTCTAGCGCTTACCGGTTCATAGCGTCCGTCAGCATATCAGCCATTTTTTAGTTGTGTGATTGTAAGCAAGTTGCTTTATATTACCAGAGCTCAATATTCCAATCTGGAAAAGGTGAAGAACAATATTACTACCTTGTCCTAAGGCTGCTGAGGGTGGGGGCTGTGGCTCGGGGTACTGTGTGTAACATAGTGTCACGTGTTTCATATGACACATTGGCACTGGACAGTGGCACAGTTGAAGGAATGTCATCCAGGGCACGTTGGCAGGCTGGTCTGTAAAG